TCCTCTCAGGATCTTGGGCACGCACACACATGCGCCCAGTGTGAGTTTACGCCACCGGGTCCAGGACTCGAACCGTGGTTGACTACGTGGGAGTCCAGCGACATAGCCATTTCGCTAACTGCTGGTTCCCATTATTATTATTTTTAATTTGACTAGTGAGAGAGAGAGAGAGAGAGGAAAAGCAAGCCAATGGGGCCGGGACTCGAACCATGGTCAGCCATGTGCGAGTCTAGTGCCCGAACCACCAAGCCACCTGCTGGCCCCGTTTTTAGAGAATTTTGCTAAAGTGTTAATGATAATTTTGGGACCAGCAGATGGAATAATGGTTACATCGCTGGACTCTCATGTAGTTGACTGACTGCGGTTCAAATCCTAGACCTGGTGGCTTAAAAATCTTGCTGGTCACATGTGTGTTCACATGCCCAAAGTCCCAGGAGGAAAATGGAGGAGAAGGGATTGCTATGTGGCCATCCACTTCCGGGGGTGATTTCTTGCTTTCTATCTCGCTGTTGAGTATACACGTCCTATGGCAAATATCTCTCAAAAAAGAATAATAATAACTTAAAAAAGTAAATCAGGAGGAACAGCTGTTGGTTTAATGGTTATGTTGCTGGACTCCCATGTAGTTGACCACGGTTTGAGTCCCAGACCTGGTGGCTTAAACTCACGCTGGGCGCGTGTGCGTGCGTGTCCAAGATCCCAAGAGGAGAATGGAGGAGAAGGGGTTGTGGGGTGGCCATCCACCCTGGGGAGTGATTTCTCACTTTCTGTCTCTGTCTCTTTCGGGCAAGCGCATGTGCCCTATAGAAAAACCACTCCAAAATAAATAAATAAATAAATAAATAGATAATTAAAACAAGAAAAAGGAATGCCCCCTTTGGCTGCCGGGTAAACAGATTGGGACAGCTATGAGGGGGTCAGCAGGACGTGGGAGGTTGGGCCTCAGCTTTAACTTGTCCCCAGTCAGAGGTGGGCACTGCCCCCTGCGGATGCCCCTGTGTCTGCCTCCCCAGGCTCGGACATCATCATGCAGCTCGATGACGTGGTTAGCAGCACGGTGACAGGGCCACGCGTGGAGGAGGCCATGCACAGGTGTGTGTGTTGGGGGAGGGCACCCTGGTCCTGCTGCCTCGTCTGCCCCAGGCCCCCAGGGCCCTGGGGTTTGTGACGGGCCCTCCTGCAGGTCAGTCCGCTGGCTGGACCGGTGCATTGCAGCCCATCGTCGGCCGGACAAGCAGAACCTCTTCGCCATCATCCAGGGCGGGCTGGACGCGGACCTCCGGGCCACCTGCCTTGAAGGTAGAGCTCGTGCTGGGGAACTGGGGCTGCTCTGTCCCTCAGGCCCCTGTGTGGGCCTGCAGTGTGACTGTGCCTCCAAATGTTTATCGTTTGTTTGTCTTTATTATTTTTTTAACTAAGAGTGAGAGATGGATAAAGAGAGAGAGAGAGAGAGAGAGAGAGAGGCACGTTTAGGCCAGGGCACAGCATGGTGGTCAAAACAGCTGGATTCTACATCTGACCGCATGGTTTGAGTCCCGGACGCAGCAGTTTGAAAAACAGACTGGGTGCATGTGCATGCCCAAAATCTCCAAAGAATGGAGGAGAAGGAATTGTGGTGCGACCATCTCCCGTGGGGGCGGGGATGCTTTCTCATCCTCCCCCTCTCTAGCAAGTAATTAACGAAAGGGGTTGTGCTCAGCAGGTGGCATGGTGGTTAAAGCTCTGCAGTTGTACATGGTCACTTGTAGTTTGAGTCCTGGACCTGGAGCTTACTTGAGTACTTTTCCCCTCTCTCTGGTCAAATTAAAATAAATGAATTAATTGAATTAAGTAAATAACCTTAAAACGTAAAAGGAAAAAAATCAATGAAATCAAATAAGTCTTTATTGTTTTTAAGAGAGATTTTTGGTATAGGATGTCTGCGCTTGCCAGAGAGACAGAAAGTGAGAAGTCACCCTTGTGGGCTTGGTTATGCCACACTTTTCTCCTCCATCCTCCTTTCAGGATCTTGGGGAAGCATCCATACGTGCCCAGTGCACTTGCCAGAAAGACAGAGAGACAGAGAGAAAGCGAGAAATCACCCCCCAGTGGAGATGGCCGCACCGCAGTCCCGTCTCCTCCATTCTCCTCTCGGGATCTTGGGCATGCACGCACACGCGCCTGGCGTGAGTTTAAGCCACCGGGCCTGGGATTCGAGCCACATTTGAGTACATGGGAATCCAGCGACATAGCCATTACGCTAACTGCTGGTCCCTGGAATCTCCTTTTTTGATTGTGGCCTCGCGTGTTGTGCTAGAGTCCAAGACAAGCCTGGGCTTGGAGGCCAAACCTCGGTCAAATTGAACCTCCCGTATTTGTGGCCTCGGGTCAGTTGTTGAAGCTGGACGCCTCAGTTTTCTTCTCTGTCGGGCAAACAGGACAACAGTGCGTGTCAGTAGCCCCTTTTCTGTCCTTCTGGAGTCTCACGGCCCAATCTTAAAATCAAAACGTTTGACCCACGTGTGAGGGTTCTGGACAGCACCGTGAGTCCCCCAGATGTGTGAGTTCCCGGGATCTAGGGCTGACTGAGGCTGGGAGTGGATCGCAGTGTGGGAACCTATTGGGTCCTATCTCTCGCTCCCTCCCTCTCTGTTTTTCTCACTCGTGGGAGAGGTAAGCAAATAAACTGAGCAAAAAAAAAAAACGAAAGAAAACAACCACCCCCAAAGCACTCTCGAAACTTATCATTCATTCGATGGCAAAACTGGGCCTTTGTCCTGTCTTCCACTCGGTTTGAATTTTCACATGTTTTTTTGCAGAAAGGTGAGTGATGATGAGCTGTGTGATTCACACTGTTCTAATATTGGGAAAATTGGGGGGCCAGCAGGTGGCATGGTGGTTAAGGCGTTGGACACTGTCATATGGCTGACAAGAAAACAGCTGGAGGCTGTTTTCTCACTTTCCCTCTCTCTTTTTCTCTGGTCGAATTAAAAGAAATGAATGAACAAATTAAATAATTAAAAAAAAACTAAATTGGGAGAATTATGAATTTTTTTTTTTGGAGAGATTTTCACTGTAGGGCGCGTGCGCTCGCCAGACAGACAGAGAGAGACATAGAGACAGAAAGCGAGAAATCACCCCCCAGGGGGATGGTCACGCCGCAATCCCTTCTCCTCCATTCTCCTCTCGGGATCTTGGGCACGCACGCACACGTGCCCGGCGTGAGTTTTAAGCCACCAGGTCTGGGACACGAACCGCGGTCGACTACGTGGGAGTCCAGCGACATAGCCATTACGCTAACTGCTGGTTCCCAAGAATTATGAATTTTTAAATACCTCTGAGAGGTTTCAGCTAACGGCATGTGGACTTTGGCTTTCTCCTGAGAATTGGAGTCTCGAATGCAGCAGGTGCTCAATAAATCTTAGGAGGGACCAGCAGCTGGCGGAATAGTTACATTGCTGGACTGCCATGTGGTCGACTGCGGTTTTACTCCCAGAACAGTGACTTGAAACTCACGCTGGGGTACCAGCAGCCGTGGGAGTCCAGCGACATAGCCATTCCCATGTAGTTGACCGCGGTTTCAGGTTTGAGTCCCGGACTCGGTGGCTTAAACTCTGCCCAAGATCCCCATAGGAGAATGGAGGAGAAGGGATTGTGGCATGGCCATCCACCTTGCGGGGTGATTTCTCCCTTTCTGTCTCTCTGTCTCTGTCTTCCTGGCAAGCACATGAGCCGTATAGTAAAAACCTCTCAAAAAAAACCCCAAAACAAAAACTCACGTTGGGCACCTGTGCATGCATGCCCAAAATCCAGAGAGGAGAATGGAGGAGAAGGGATTATGCTTATGGTGTGGCCATAACCCCTTGGGGATTATTTCTTGCTTTCTGTCTGTCTGTCTCTCTTTCCAGCAAGTGCATGCACTACAGCAAAAAAAAAAAAACAAAAATAAAAAACCGCTCTCTAAAAAATAAGTAAAAAATGATAGTTGATATAGCCCATTGTCCCCCAAGATCAGCTGTTGCACCCTCTCCCTCTCCCTGTCCCCCCACCTCTCCCTGGGGACTGTGGAGGTCTGGGTGTGTTCCTCCTTGGGAACAGTTTAAGGTGTATTTCCTCTTATCTGGTTGCCCCTCCCCATACTCTGCACCCTCAGAGATGACCAAGAGGGACGTGCCAGGCTTTGCAATTGGGGGCCTGAGTGGGGGCGAGAGCAAGGATCAGTTCTGGAGAATGGTGGCCCTGAGCACCGCCCGGCTCCCCAAGGACAAGCCACGATATCTGATGGGAGTTGGGTATGTTGGGGAGTGGTGAAACAGGCCTACCTGTGGGGATGGGATTTTGGGGGGACCCCTGTACAGCTTGGGTGCGAGGTGTTTGGGGGAAAAGCAACAGCCCTGCTTCCTGGGGACTAAGGGGGACATCGCTGTCCTCTGGGGGCGGGTTGGAGGGCAGCGGCTCTGTTGGGAGGCAGCGGGGGGAGCCCCAGTCTCAGGGCTAGAGGCTCACTACTCCCCTCTCTTTATGGCCGCGACCCCCCAGCTATGCCACTGATCTGGTGGTCTGCGTGGCCCTCGGATGTGACATGTTCGACTGTGTCTTTCCCACGCGGACTGCGGTGAGGCCCTGGGCTGGGGTGCATCGACGTGTTGTGGGACCCAAGATCGCGAAGACGGGGTTGAGTAATCTTCGCGTGCTTTGCCTTTGCTTCAGCGCTTTGGCTCCGCCTTGGTGCCCACCGGGAACCTGCAGTTAAAGAAGAAGCAATATGAGAAGGACTTCCGCCCCATAAACCCTGAGTGCACCTGTCCCACCTGCCAGAAGTAGGCGGAGACCACAGAGGGGAGGGGCTTGCACGGCACCTGCAGAGGGGCGTGGCTGACCGGAGAGTGACGTGTGAGGGGGCGTGGCTGACGTGGAGAGGGGCCGTGTGGAAGGCCGAGGCTGACCGAAGCGGGTGCTTGGAGGGGCGTGGCTCAAAGGCCGTGACTGGCACGGAAAGGGGGCGTGTGGAGGGGCGGGGCTGACGTGGGTCGGCTTGTCGGGAAGGTGGGGCGGGGCGACGGCTTGTGGGGTGGGGCTAGGGAGGAGGATGGAGAGGGGCGTGGTTCGCGCTGAGAGAGGTGTGCGGAGGGGCGTGGCTGGCAGTAAGGAAGCGGATGGAGAAGCGCGGTCGGCGTGAGGGGCCCTGGGTAAGGGCCTGTTGAAATGTCAGGGCTGGAGACGCAGAGAGGAGGTGTTTGAGGGGGTGGCCAGAGAGGGGCGTGGTTGTCCTAGAGGTAGGTGTGTGGGGGGCGTGGCTGGCCATACGGACGTGTGTAGAGAGGCGGGGTTGGAGTGAGTGGGCGTGGGTGATGGAGATGGGCGTGGCTGGGAGGGGGCGTGTCGGGAGGGCAAGGCTGGTGTGGAGGTTGGAGAGGGGCGTGGTTTACTCAGTGGACATGTGGAGGGGCGGAGGTAGTGTGGAGGCTGGAGGGGCGTGGCTGTGGGAGAGTGGAGGAGCGGAGCTGGTGTGGAGCTGGGGAGGTCTGAGAGCTGGAAAGATATGGAAGAGTGCTGCTGACAGGCAGAGGGCAGAGGCAAGGAGGCCCATCTGAGTGAGAAGGAGTGATGGAGATGGCGTCGCTGGCACAAGGAGCGGGTGGGGCGCGCAGGGAGGGTGTGAGTGGCGGGGGCGGGGCTGCCGTGGGGAACGTGAAGCCTCGTAGCTCTGTCACCTGCTGGTCCACAGGCATAGCCGAGCCTTCCTGCACGCGCTGCTCCACAGCGACAACACGGCCGCCCTGCACCATCTCACTATCCACAACATCGCCTACCAGGTGGGCCAGCCTCCCTCCCCTGCCGGAACCCGTGAGAAAGGACAGGGCAGGCGAGGGTCTTCCGGGCACTCATGGCTGATGCTGATGCCTCCTCCTTGCAGCTGCAGCTGATGAGCGCCGTGCGGGCCAGCATCTTGGAGAAGCGCTTTCCTGACTTCGTGCGGGACTTCATGGGCACTATGTACGGGGACCCCACCCTCTGTCCTACCTGGGCCACTGAGGCTCTGGCCTCTGTGGGCATCACACTCGACTGACCTGGCATCGGGAGAGGGAAGGTGGGAAGGGGTGCTCAATCTTGAAGAATGTTGGAAGGCTTTTTTATCCTTAGAGTGTGTCTGTGTCTTCTTGCGGAGGTGTGCTTAGCTTCCTTTCTGATCTGAGCGGCACCGCAGTTGGAAATCCCCCTTCCCGTGGAAAATAGCAAGTAACCATGGCGACAGCGGATCACTGGAAACTACCTGGCCTTGGCCACCATGTAGGATGTGCCCAGAGTAGGGACTGCATTCTTAATCTTGGGCCCAGGCTCTTGAGCCTCCCTGCAGGTGGGCGCTCTTGTCAGGACACAAACCCAGGGAAGGGAAGGGAAGAAGCTTGTCCAAGGTCCCCATGGAGAAAGTGGCTGGCAGGTGCTTACGCCTTGGCACTGGTTAAGTGGTCATCATGTGTACTGAATTCTTTTTTTATGGAGAGGTTTTGGCTATAGGGCTCGTGCACTCACCAGAAAGACAGAGAGATGGGGCCAGCAGGTGGTAGTGGTGGTTAAAGGCACTGCGCTCCCACATGGCCGACTGTGGTTCAAGTCCTGGACCTGGCTGGTTGCTTTCTTGCCTTCCCTCTCTGTCTTCTCTCTCTGATCAAACTGGAAAATAATAATAATAAATAAAGTTAAATAAACTAATTCTTTAAAAAGAAAAAGAGCGAGACAGCAAGAAATCACCCCCCAGGGGGATGGCCACGCCACAATCCCTTCTCCATTCTCCTCTCGGGATCTTGGGCACGCATGACACGCGCCAGGCATGAGTTTAACCCACTGGATCTGTGACCAGAACTGCGGTCGACTACATGGGAGTCCAGCGACAGCCATTACACCAACCGCTGGTTCCAATGTGTATTGAATTCTGATGCAGAAGCAGTTGTGTTTCCATTGTACAGATGAGGTATCTGAGGTTCAGAGGGATGAGGTCCTGTAAGGCTCCTATTACAAAATATCATAAACTGGCGGCTTATTAACCAGAGAAATTTATTTTTCACAGTTCTAGAGGCTGGGAAGTCTATGTTGATGGTGCCAGCAGGTTGAATGTCAGACCTGCTCTCTCGTTCTTAAGGTTGCCATCTTTTTTGCTGTATCCTCATGTGGTAATAGGGGCAAGGCTGGTCCCTGAGGTTTTTTTTTTATAATGGCATGAGTCCCATTCTGCTTTTATTTTTATTTATTTGCTCTTTCTGGAGAGATTTTTGCTATAGTGCATGTGCACTCACTGGAGAGACAGAGACAGAAAGCAAGAAATGACCTCCCCCAGGGGGGATGGCCACATCACAATCCCTTCTTTTCATGGGATCTTGGGCACACACATACATGCATCCACTGTGAGTTTCAAGCCACTAGGTTTGGGATTCTAATCACAGTCAGTCATGTGGAAGTCCGTCAAAGTAATTACTATACTATCTGCTGGTTCCCCAATTCTGCTTTTATGACCTAATCACCTCTCATATATTCCCATCTCCAAATACTGTTGTTTTGGGGGTTGGGTTTCAATGTATGAATTTTGGAGGGATATGAGCATTCAGACCATAGCAGTCATGTGGTAAGTAGGCCCAGGATCTATGTGAGCGATTAGGGTGCTCTTCTAAAATAAAGGTCGGGGACAGCAGGTGGCATGGTGGTTAAGGTATTGGATTCCTACCTGGCCAACTGCAGTTCGAGTCCCAGACCTGGTGGCTTGAAAATCACGCTGGGTGTGTATGCATGCGTGCCCAAAATCCCAGAAGGAGAATGGAGGAGAAGGGATTGTGTGATGGCCATCCCCTCTGGAGAATGATTTCTCACTTTCCCTCTCCCTGTTTCTCTGTCTCTGTACAGTGAATGCATATGCCCTATGGTTAAAAACTCAAAAGAGAGAGAAAAAAAAAAGCACTGTATTTGCTTTGTTTTCTGTGGTGTGTGTGTGTGTGTGTTTCAGATGTCACAGGGTGTGTGCAGTTTGTAGAGGGAGAGGAGAAAGGAAATCGGACATGGTCATGCCACAATCCTTTCCCCTACACGTCTCTGCCATTTCTGGAGCTGGGACACGCACACATGCGCCCCGCGTGATTTTTCAAGCTACCTGCGCTGAGAACCCAGTCATGCAATTGACCATGTTAAAACTTTCCTTCGCCACCAGTCTGTAGGGCTGGCCCTCTTCCGGAAATTTTCCATGCATATTTTGTTTTTTTCCTGAATGTCAACCTCCTTTACATGCAATTCTGTACTTTGTAGTTTTGTTTACCCCTTCATATATCAAATTGTCTATATGTCAGTGCAAGAAGAACTCCCTACTCCTTTTTGCAGCCCCTGCATAGTGAAGCATCTTTTCCCATGGATGCTTAGGCTTTTTGCAAGTTTCTGCCATTTAGATCAAAGTTGCAGATCTTACTGGTCTTTTGACCCATCCCTGTGGGACCTGAGGTTAAGGTTCATGGACTGAGCAGGTACCATTGGCCACTCTGCTGTTCTTCCCGTCACTGTCTCTCCACTCCCACAGTCTCTGGTCATTCCCCTTCCCCGCTTACATTGCTCCAGCCTTTTCACTCGGTTTCCTGCCTTCTCGTCCAAACAGATCAAATAACTTCTTAAACTCCTTCCACTAGTCCCCATCCGCTGTTGCAAGAAGTTAAGAGTTACATTTCCCAGAACCCCCAATATTGTCTGCAAAACAGCATGTCCATTTGCCGAGAAGAGGGTCTGTCGAGTTTCACCGAACGCAGCAAGATCCACACGCACTGACGTTGAAGAGGCGAGGGAATACCTTTGGAGTAAGCTGCCTCTACATGGGGTGTGCGCAGAAGGGGGAGCATTTGCAAAGGCTTGATTTCATTCACTTTGGCCCTAGGAAGTAGTATGGCATCTGACGCTCACCTTCAAAGAGCAGCAGGACCCTGATCCCAGAATCAGGGATATGAGCATTCATATCCGTTCGCAGGCTGGGAATCACAGTGAATTCGGGATTAGTTTTCTCTCGAGCCCGGAACTCAGAAGTGACGATTACCGGACCCTGCCACGAGATGTCGCTCTTTGGTGAGCAGAGCGGGCCTTACCCTCCGCCTGAAGAAAACTAACAGATAAGTCACAAGAGTGGGAGTTTCTTTGACAGACAGAAACAGCTCTCAATCAAAGCCAAGGTTTGGGTGTTAGAATCCGCCCTCTATTGCTCTGTTGGTTAGAAAAACGAAGTGGCATTTATATAAGCCAATAGGAAATTTTAGGGAACTAAATGGCGTCAACTCTAGCTGATGCTAAATGATCGGTTCTCTAACATCATTGGTCAACTTTGTTGACTGACGGACATTTCTGCCACTAAGACTGTGGAATTCTCCCCTGTGGGGCGGGGCCGGTATGCCTCTCGAAATACCGCCTCCCGGTCTTGACAACTCGGTATCCGTCGCTATTGGCTCTTGCATAACAGTGACAGGTTTTGAGCCCAATGAGCACGCGAGATGGGCCTCAGGGGGACGACTCACTTAGCTCCAGGCCCGTGCGTCACTGTCATTGGCTCATATGCTCGAGTGGCAGCGGAGCCGGCGAATAGGACTTAACGTGAGTGCTTTGGGAGCAGCCCCGGGGCCGGCGCGGGAGGTCGCTCGGGTCGGGTGTCGGCTGAGAACCGGATGAGGCGGCGACCGTGAGGCCGAACCGGGAGCGGGCGTCG